CAAAGCCATTCCCCCCTGTCCTGTCTCCAAACATTTCTAAATTCTCTCTCCATCTTTCTTGCAGGCTCCCTTAAGGCACTGAAAAATTATTTGTTGTGGGGGCATTCTAAGGAGAAAATGCTTAAATATCTGCAGCACTTAAATAGCTTGATCATTTTTGAAATGAAATGGATCAGAAACAGGTCTGAAAAAACACTGATTTGCTGAAAAAAGTGCACCACAGGCACCAAACCAGCCTGAATCTCCTGTCCTCCTCTTCCCAAAAGTCATTAAGGCTGAATGGCATGGAAAGGTGATCTCAAAATGAGTTTCCAACAAAGGTCTCAAGGAGCCCAGCACCTTTCTGTGATGTTTGGCACCCTGGCAGGAGCCACAGCTCCCCCATGCCAGACAAAAATCGGGGAAGCAGCAGCAAGGAGCTGCTTTTGGGGTGGCTCAGGAGCGCAGGCATGGGAAGGGTTTGAAAGGATCAGGAATGTGAAAGGAGACACCAGAGAGCACCAAGGCAACTGCAGTGGACACAGGTTGGAGGACAGATGCCAGGATTAGTGGGGGCAGAAGAAATGCTGCTGGGAACACCAGATGCAGCCAGTCACAAAGCCAGGCTTCCCTGGCTGCGTCCTCAGAGAAAACAAACTTATTTCCATGTGTTCTGTGCACGTTCTTCGTGGGGTTTCTAGCTGCTGCTCTGGCTTTCCAACTACACACATCCTCAGAAATCAAACCTGTTATTATTACTCATAAGACCAGGGGTAATTAGATAAAATCTCCATTTTACAAGGAGAAATAAAGGGTAGAGCAGTGTGACATGGACACAGAAAGTGAGTCAGTGGCACTGCCCAGTTCAAAGCCCAGTGTTAATGCAACAGGCTTCACCATGTCACTAAAAATGGGCTTTTTCATCAATGTGCAAGGAAAACTGGCCAGCAGGTAAATAATTCTGAACTAAAGCCTGAATTTGTATTAATCAAGTCCAAGAAAAGGGACAATCCCACATGCTATCATGCACCTCTTAAATCTGTGCTCACACAATTGTTTCCTTTTCTAGTGACTGGAATGCAGAGCAGTGACAATACTTCAGACATTTTCTTACAAATTAATTAATTAATTAATCAGCTTCAAATACAAAACCAACAGCAAGACTCGCACACTGACCTTCAGAAACTCCAAGACCCAAAGTGCACGGTGGGAATCAGAGCAAAGGAAAGGTGTTCACATCTTACTCCCACAACAAAGTCACTGAATTGATGGCTCCCACAAACACAGAGCAGGTCATTTATTCATCCATTAATTGCTCTCAACACAGCCAACAAAAATGCTAATCCTGGCCCTAATCACCATTTTGCCTCCATCACAGTAATCTTCTCCCAGCTCCCCACCAATTCACAGGATGTGTGTCTGCCACTCAGATCTCATCTCCCCGAATCCCCATGTGCTGCTTCCTCCCTGCCTTATCAAGTTCAAGCTTCCTGCCACTGTCTCCGAGGTGTTCTCAAGTGTACCTTGGCTCTTGCCTTGCTCCTGCTCCGAGGAGCTGTTTCCCCAGTGATGCCACTGTTTGTTTTCTTTTCTCACTTTACTTTCTCTGTGCTGCTCTTCACTCGCTGCAGGATCTGTTCCACTCCTCCTGCAGGCTGTGCCTTAAAAACTTGTGGATGTCAAAGTAAATGAGCAACCAACTGGTGACAGCCACAGTTAAGAAACCTGCAAGAATTCACCCTGAAAACTCTCATGCTTTGGGACTTTAAAGACCTAAAATGATCATATTTAACCATGTGAGATAAGATACTTATCCGTATCTCTCCTTTCCATGTTTGCTGCAGTTCTGAATTATCCCACATCCGTGGTGTCAGATTAAAGCATTATAATATATTGTAGTTAAGAAATAGTTAACTTCTGATGATAATTATAACATCTATATTGTCTCACCCTTCACATGAGACTGAAAAGAAAATCCAAATTTTTAAAACGCCTCTCAGCTGCCCCATCTCTAAGTCAGAAAAAGGCTTAATCTGACACATGGGATTTAAGTTAACAAAACTTTTGCTGCATTGAAAACCATCCAGTACCAAACCCCTGCGTGGCCTCTCAAGTGAAGAGCAAGACATGTCCTCACCACTCCCTACGAAGCAAATCACATCAAACTCCCAGCCCCTCAGCCAGCAGCTCCTGTAGATCTCAAATCCCTCCTGAAATTGTTCTTCCCCAAAAAAATTAACTACGAGGCATTTTACCATCCATTTTTGACACGTGCCACCTGGAGCTAAGTGGTGTTCATTAATGATTTCTCTAATGCCATACACAGTTTTAATACCTGGCGCTCATCCTTATTCCCCTGGTGTCACATCCCAAGCCCTTCCTGCCCATCAGCAGCGAAGATTTCTGTTCTTCTGATCTTCTGCTTTCCCAGCAAAAAAACCCACCAAGGATTGATTCTACTGCCAGATCCCAGATATGTTTCCCCACACCCCCTCAGCAATATTAGCCGAGATTTCCCCCTCTGTTCATTCCTGCTGCTGCTTTTCTCGATGAAAACACACTGTCATGTCATATTTGGAAGGTGAATATTTTTCTTTTGGCTCTTTTCATTGCTTCAGCTCCAAGGGACATTAAAACCAATTCAGCTAAGTGTTAGAAATCCCGGAATATTACTACTAACTCTACGGCCTCCCACGGTCCCCTCTCAAATTCCTTGTCTTCTTTTATTTGCTAAGAAAGACAGACCACACTCAGAAAAAAAGAAATAAAAAGTGTGATAAAGCCTCACTTAAAGTATTTCTCTGTATCACAATGCCAGAACAGGAGAAACAGGAGCTCAAGGGCCTTGAATCACCTGCACAAGCATCTTTAAAATGTTTAGAGATGGACACATTTCCCAGGAATAAAGTAACTGTTTGCTTTACAGGAGGTAACAAATAAAACACTTCCCAATCAGAATCTGCTGGTTTTTTTTTTTTTTTTTTTTTTTTTTTTNTTTTTGTTTTTGTTTTTGTTTTTGTTTTTGTTTTTTTCTGACAGAAATCCCAGGGGATTTCTTGTCAGGAAGAATATTCCACAGAAGTGCTGGGAGCAGAGGCCAGGCTCAGGGAAAGCACCTGGAAGAGGACACAAATTTTGTGGGAAGAAAGGCAGAGGACAGACATGGTAAAACACCCTCCAGTGGGAGGAGGAAAATTGGGAAGCAGAAATAGATTTTTCTCCTGGTTTTTAACCTGACTGCAGCTCTGGAATCACCTCCTGAATTTGGAGGTGCAGGCTAATTCTGTCGGTTGCCTATTCATATGCAAATAAAGGCAAAATTGCTAAAATCTGCATAACCAAGTCTGGAGCAAAGGTTCCTCCAGCCTTAGGCTGCGAGTGCCAACATCAGCCAAGGCTGACTGCTGAGGGAAAAGCAGTTTGGGAATTCTCCTAAAATATTATTATCCCATCTGCCACAGGGTGAGTCAGGAGCTCCCTGAGAGGTCTCCACATCCAGTGCCTTCCAGGGGATTTTTCTGGACAAAAGCCATTTTATATCCATCTAGTAAAAGATAAAGGTCACAGCTAACCAACACTTGCCCTTTAATTCCTTTAAATCCTTTGGTTATTCCCAACCCACCCCAAGGCAGAATGGGCACACCTGTGCCACAGGTAAGGGACACAAAACCAGGGACAAACAGAGATTTTGCTTTCACAGAACAAACACAGTAGGTCTCGTGACAGATTTTTTTGTTTTTCCCTTTGCAAGCTGGAGATGGGACTCATGACCTCACTGGTCCACAACAGCACCAGCCCTTGCATAGCAGCAGAAATGAATTTAATTTTAAAATAGCCAACAATCCTATAGAAAACAATATCTATTTTAAAATACCATTAATTCAGTAACTACATGTGCTATTGCCACTTTTCTCTTGTAACAACAGCACTGCCATTTTTTACCAATATGTCTATCTCTTGCACCAAGGGAAAAAAACTGCTTTTTAAATCCTCTAGGACAGTTTAAACTTTTGAAAACAACTAGGAAGGAAAAACAGAAAAAGCTTCTTCTGGAAATTGTAACTCAAATTTTGTCACTGGTTATTATCACTCAAACCTTTTTAGGCGACTGCCTGTAGCAAAGAATTCAAGTCCAAAAAGAAGTTGTGGTAATTTTGTCTTTTAAATCAAGATGTTTCAGACTTAGAACTGTTTAAAATGGAAAAGAAAAAAAAAAAAGAAAAGTCTCTCTTTTATACTCTCAGACAGCTGAGAAAAGCTTTGGGTAAGAACACTTCTTAAGAACTCAAGCAGGCAGACAGATGATGATTTTAGAGCCCATCTCTCCCCATATGTTCAAGCAGCTGCCAGAATTTCCCTGTTTCCCACAGAGGCACCAGGGATGATCCCAAGGTCCTCAAGGATGACCACAAATCTCACAGGATTCACCCCAAAACCCCAACACCCCCGGAAAACAAGTGCAGGTGCAACCTAAATTACTTAGCAATGAGGCCAGCCGACACAAAGTAGGAGAGAAGGTCCTGAAAATGAAAAGTGAGGAGGTTTCAAGGGATGAGGGTGAAGGCACAGGTTCTGTCCCTGCTCCCAGCAGCTCCAGTTTCCCTGCCTGGCTCTGACACCACACAGCTGGCAGCAGAGTGAATTCGTGTCCCGAGGCCATCGGATGGAAACCCACATTCCAAATTCTCTGCCCCATAATTAACGGGGTGAAGAACCACAAACCAGGAGTTAGGAACTCAGGAGACCATGGAAGAGAGGGACAAGGATGGGAACACATTTTGGATTCTGATGGGAGAGGTTGGGAAGGCCAAGGTTCAACCACCCAAACTCAAATTCACCATCAATAAAGCTAGAATAGGACTAAAACCTCCATGAAACAATAAATAAAACTGACTTAAAACTTCACAAGTATGCTTTTGGAGAAGGAAGATCACCAAGTCTACAAGACACTGACCCAATAAACCAGCCATTATCCTAAAAAAAAATAAACATCAATATTTGGGAGGGAGACTCCCCGCTCCATGCCCCGCGTGTCACCCGGGGAAACACCGAACTCGGGGATGCGCAGCTCCGCTCCGCGGGGATGCGGGGCCCGGGGGGGCTCCCGGGGCCGCTGTCAGGCACCGCCCCGGCCCCGGTACCGAGCGCGGCTCCCAGGCTCCCGCACCCCGGGGGCTGAACGGCCCCGGGCCCGCCGCCGCCGCTGTCAGCGGGCCCCGCCGCCAGCGGGGATCCCCCGCCCCTCGCCGCGCTCCCTGTCAGGGCTCCCCGTGCCTCCCGCTCCGCCAGGGGCTCCCCCGGCTGTCACGGACCCGCCGCCCCGCTCCCCGTCCGCTTCCACGCCGCGCTCCGGGCCCTACCGGGGATCCCCCCCCGCCGCCCCCGGGGATCCCCCGCCGTGGCCGGGGATACCCCGGCGGCCGCCACCGCGCCCGGAGCGGGGATGCGGCGCGGCGGGGATCCCGGGGGGGATGCGGGCGGGCTGCGAGGCGGCCCCGCCGAGGATCCCAGCGCGCCTCCCCTCCCCCCGGGCCGCGGGCCTGAGGCGGTCCCGCTCCCCCGCCCGCTCCTCACCGTGTCAGCGGCAGCGCGGCCGGGGCCGAGCACGGGCTGCTCCGCGCCGCATCCCCGCGGCCGCCCGGGCGCGGACGGGGCCGGGGAGGGACCGGGACCGAGCGGCCGCCGCGGCGGGGCCTGAGCCGAGCGAGGCGGCGGAACCAAAATGGCGGCGGCTCCTGCTCCGCCGCGAGCGAGCGCACGGCCACGCCCCCCGCCGGCCACGCCCCCTCCGCGCGGCCACACCCCCGCGGGCAGAGGGCGCGGCGGCCACGCCCGTTGATTGGCTACGCCCACCGCTTGGCCACGCCCATGTGTGAATAGGCCACGCCCACCGCGGCCCCGCCCACGCCCACCGCGAAAAGGAACGGACGGGGAAGGAAAAGAGGATTTTTTGCCCCAAAGTGATGCAGGTGGTGTTTTTCACCCACAAACCCGTCTTTTCCTCGAGTGTTGGAACTCAAAATGTCCCTCAGACATTTTTGGAGGTTCCAGGCCTTGCTCAGAAGCATTTGAGCCCCTGGCAGGCAGCTGGAAACAGCTGTGATTTTGAGTTTGAGCCATGGAATGAGTTACCAGCTTTGAAGGTGGAACAAGAAGTCACAAAAGTTTAGATATTAGAGTAGAAGTAGTTACAAAGTAGAGGGAAGAATTTTGTAGTATTGTACAAGGGATTTTTAACACCTGTACAGGGGAGTTTTTATTTTGTACATAGGGGTCAGAGGTTTTAAGATGGAGGAACGTAGTCCCATCCTATTTCTCCTCTTTCTTCTTCCTTACCTCCATATTCTTGATAATGCTGGCACTTATGGATTGGTTTAGAATAGAAAATCACCATATATAGGTAGTAGGTATTGGGGGAAAACTATAAACATGTATCACATAATATATGATATAAAAAATAGCAGCAGCCAGGGGTGGGGGGAGAGAAGAAGGGACAGAGAGGATGTCAGGGTCTATTTGTGCCTCTGCCTGAGCTGCTGAGCAAACCGCAGTAGGAGAAAAGAAAATCTTTTAGATAATTAGCAATAAACTGCCTTGGGACCGAACAACAAAGGCTGTTGAGTTTTCTTTGGAAGCTCGGGTTGGAGGAGAGACTTTTCCACCACATAGAACCCCTAAACCAGGCCGGGGTTCCGACACTTGAGTGCCTCACACACACCCTCCCCACTTCAGTGTCATTAAAATCTTCCGGGGGGATGTTAAGGGGTTGGAATGGACTTTAAAAGTCATTTATTCTCAACCCACCTGCTGTGAGCAGAGCTCTTCCACTAGATCAGATCACTCAAAGCTTGTCCAGCCCTTGGGCACTTCCAGGGATCCAGGGCCAGCTCTGCCAGGGCTTCCCCACCTTCACAGAGAGGAATTTCTTCCTAACAGGTGACCTGACTTTTCCCTCTGTCAGTTTGTTCCCATTACCCCTTGTCCTGTCACTCCAGTTCCTGATGGAGAGTCTCTCTCCATCTCCCTGTGTCGCCCTGATTTTTAAGATTTTCTAAAGCCTTCTGAGTTTACACTCTGTTAGAAAACTTCCCCACACATTTTCTATAAACAACGTATTGTTTTGCATTCCTTTGTGGGGCTGGAGGAAGTTGATGTACTGGTGGTTTGGCCAATGTCTTTGGAGAGGTGGCACCTTCACTCTCCAATCCACTGTCACCTTTAGAAAAGTATAAAAATTAGAGTCAGAAAATAAACCTTCTTCTTTTTTACCTTGTCATCGCAGTAACTCGTGTTGTGCTTTCTCGTGTCCTATAGCGACATCCCTGGAGCCCTTTTAGATCCTGGAATGTGCTTTGAGGTCTCTGCAGGCTGAATATTCCCAAATTTCCCAACCCTTTTAGTGACGTTGTTGTCCCCACTAGATTTCCTCCAACAGTTCCATATCCTTGGTATTTTGGGAATGATGCTCACCATATCTGATGGGAATTACTACAGCCATTTGTAATTGCTGTTAATTAGTGTTTTAAAACATTGTCTGCCAGAAATAGCAATTAATTAAAATATTGTGTTACAGCAATGTGTATATAGAAAACCCAAATGAACAAAAATCCCTGGACTCATGGCAAAAATAAATGTGAAGTCTCTGCAGAAGCAGAGATTTAAGTTGTCAATACCTGAAAATCTGGCAATGAAACCATGAACAGCAAATTAATCTTGCACCATGCGTGCAAAATTCAATAGTGAGGGTCCAGATGATTCCTCAGAAATGAAAAATGTCCTGGAGCCAACAAAATACTGGGGGCTTCAGGACGAGCATTCCCAGCAGGTCAGGGAGGGATCCAGGGAGTGCTGAGCCTCTGGAGTGCCGTGTCCAGCTCTGGGACCCTGAGCACAGCAGGTCAGGGAGCTCCTGGAGGGGCACAAAGACCCTGAAGGGCCTGGAGGGTCCCTGCCCAGGAAAGGCTGAGGGAGCTGGGGCTGCTCAGCCTGGAGAGGAGCCCCAGCTGAGAGGGGCCTCAGCCCTCAATGGCCCTGGGTGTCCCCGATGTCCCTGGGTGTCCTTGGGTGTCCCTGGGTGTCTCTGGCTGTCCCTGAGTGTCCCTGGGTGTCCCTGTGTGTCCCTGAGTGTCCCTGAGTGTCCCTGGGTGTCTCTGAGTGTCCCTGGGTGTGTCTGGCTGTCCCTGGGTGTCCCTGATGTCCCTGGGTTTCCCTGAGTGTCCCTGGGTGTCTCTGGCTGTCCCTGGGTGTCTCTGGCTGTCCCTGAGTGTCCCTGGGTGTCCCTGAGTGTCCCTGATGTCCCTGGGTGTCCCTGATGTCCCTGGGTTTCCCTGTCTGTCCCTGTCTGTCCCTGGGTTACTGTGGGTGTTCCTAGGTGACCTCAGATGTCTCCGTGTGTCCCTGGGTTTCTGTGGATGTCCCCGAGTGTCCCTTGGTGTCTCTGGTGTCCCTGAGTGTCCTCAGGTGTCCCTGGGTGTCTCTGCCTGTCCCTGGCTGTCCCTGAGTGTCTCTGGCTGTCCCTGGATGTCTCTGGATTTCCATGGGTGTCCCTGGGTGTCCTCGGGTGTCTCTGGGTTTCTGTGGATGTCCCTCGGTGTCCCAGTCTGTCCCTGACTGTCCTCTCTGTCCCTGTCCATCTCAGTCTGTCCCTGTCTGTCCCTGTCCATCTCAGTCTGTCCCTGTCTGTCCCTGTCCATCCCAGTCTGTCCCTGTCCATCCCAGTCCATCCCAGTCTGTCCCTGTCCATCCCAGTCTGTCCCTGTCCATCCCAGTCTGTCCCAGTCTGTCCCTGTCCATCCCTGTCTGTCCCTGTGTGTCCCAGTCCATCCCAGTCTGTCCCTGTCCATCCCAGTCTGTCCCTGTCCATCCCAGTCTGTCCCAGTCGGTCCCTGTCCGTCCCTGTGTGTCCCAGTCCGTCCCTGTCCATCCCAGTCTGTCCCAGTCCATCCCAGTCTGTCCCTGTCCATCCCAGTCCATCCCAGTCTGTCCCTGTCCATCCCAGTCTGTCCCAGTCCATCCCAGTCCGTCCCTGTCCGTCCCAGTCCATCCCAGTCCATCCCAGTCCGTCCCTGTCCATCCCAGTCCGTCCCTGTCCATCCCAGTCCGTCCCAGTCCATCCCAGTCCATCCCTGTGTCCCCCAGGCCCTGCCCCAGCCCCAGCGCTGCCCCAGAGCCCCGGGCAGGGCCGAGCCCAGGAGCTGCCCCTGCCCAGGAGGCAGAACTGCTGCCCTGGGCAGTGCCAGCCCTGGGCAGAGCCCGGAGAGGCTGCGGAGCGTCCAGAGCCGCCTGGCCACCGCCCCGTGCCCCGTGCCCTGCGATGGCCCTGCCTGCACAGGTCGGTGCCACCAGATGTGCCACCAGATGTGCCCCCATCCACGACCCACCGGCACCCTCCCAACCCGTCCCATCCCACCGCCCTGATTCATTCACCCGTTTCTTCAAACCTGCCCGCAAAGCCCTTCCCGCGCCGCGAGAAATCAATTAAAACAAATTAACGCGGCTCGCCCCGGCGCCGGGGCCACGCCCACCGAGGCCACGCCCACAGTGATCATGACCACGCCCACACAGCCCACGCCCTCTTTGGCCACGCCCCCCGTGTCCCTCAGCGGCTCCCGTAGCGATCGCGGCGGCACCGGCGGCACCGGCGGCACCGGCCCCGGTGAGTGCGGGGCCACCGCGGCTCTTTCGGGGCCACCGCGGCTCTTTCGGGGCCGCCGCAGCTCCCTCGGGGCCGCCGCGGCTCCCTCGGGGCCGCCGCGGTCCCTCCCGCTTCCTCCAGGCGTCCGCGCCGCTCCGGTCCCCGGTGTGACCGGGAATGGGGCGGGCAGCGCGTGGCGGGCACCGGGGCGGGCAGCGGGGCGGGCAGCGGGCCGGGCACCGGGCCGGGCAGCGGGCCGCGCTCGGCTTTGGGTAATTTGGGGGAACCGAGGCGTTCCCGTGGGTGGGAGTGCGGCTTTGGGGTTGCCTGAGGGGGTTTTGGTGCTTTGGGGTGCTGGGTTTTGGGGTTTTGAATTCTGGGGTTCTGGATTTTGGGATTTTTGGGGTTCTGGATTTTTAGGGTTCTGAATTCTGAAATTCTGAATTTTTGGGGTTCCGAATTCTGAAATTCTGAATTTTTGGGGTTCTGAATTTTTGGGGTTCTGGGTTTTTGGGGTTCTGAATTCAGGGGTTCTGAAATTTTGGGATTCTGAATTTTTGGGATTTTGAATTCTGGGGTTCTGAATTGTTGGGGTTTTGGATTCTGGGATTCTGTATTTTGGGGTTCTGAATTCTGAGGTTCTGTATTCAGTGGTTCTGAATTTTTGGGGTTCTGGGTTTTGGGATTCTGGGATTCTGCATTTTGGGGGTTTGAATTTTGGGGTTCTGAATTTTAGGGTATTGAATTATGGAGTTCTGAATTCTGGCGTTCTGGGATTCTGAACTTTGGGATTCTGAATTTTTGGGGTTCTGAACTTTGGGATTCTGAACTTTGGGATTCTGAACTTTGGGTTTCTGAACTTTGGGATTCTGAGCTTTGGGGTTCGGGATTCTGGATTCTGAATTTTTGGGGTTCTGAACTTTGGGATTCTGAATTCTGGGATTCTGGCAGGATGCTCAGAATTAAGGGCGGGTTTTAAAAGGAAGTCAGCAGCAAAATTTAAAAAAAAAATCAACGGGGAGTTTAAAAATATTGACATAATTCAGTTTTCTGTTTTCTGCAGGTTTTACTCACCACTTCCACCGAGGGGCAGCTTCTTCTGAGGAATTCAGGTAATTAATTAATTAACACTCCCTTGGAATGCAAATTACTGCACCCAAAGCATCCTTCTTAGGCAATGTCAGCATTTTCTCCTCGGGAAATTCTGGGGAAAAGCCCTTGGATGCAGCAGAGGTGGCAGAAGAAATCAATTTATTCCACTCTTTGCTTTTATTTTGGGTTTTTCCTCCAAGCTGGGCTGTTTTTTTGGGGATTTTTCCTTCAAGCTTGGCTGAGACCTTCAGTCTCTGCATTATTTCAGTTTTTTCCTGATAATCACTCTTACTCCTCTTAACATTTTCTGTCAAAATTCCTTTCCCACTCAAAGCCAACAAAAGACTGTTCTCCTCTCCAGGAGAATGAAATATCTTCATTTACAAAGGGGTTTTTTTTCCTCTTCATATCTCTGAGAAAATGGTGATTAAAGGAATAGTTTTTATTAGTTTGATTTATGCTTTATCAGGTTTTTTTTTTTTAAACCCTTAATATAGGGGGTTTAAAGATTAAAAAAAAATTATTTTCCATTAAATCATTCCATTAAAATGTTAAATTTCTTTGTTTCTTTATTTTCCATTAAACTATTCCATTAAAATTTTAAATTTTTTAATTCCTTTATTTTCCATTAAATTAGTCCATTAAAATTTTAAATTTTTTTCATTTCTTTATTTTCCATTAAACTATTCCACTAAAAAGTTAAATTTTTTGATTTCTTTATTTTCCATTAAATTATTCCATTCAAATTTTAAAATTTCTCATTTATTTATTTTCCGTTAAACTATCCCATTCCAATTTTAATTATTTCAAATTTCAAACTGATTTTAATCTTAAAATTTTTTTTAAATTCATTTTTAAATTTAAAACGATTTGTGATTTTAATTTTTAATGGCATGGTTTTTGTATTATTATCATTATTGCTATTATTATTGCTATTATTATTGCAATTTTTGCTGTTATTGCTTTTATTTTTATTACTACTACTACTACAAATTATTATTATTGTTATCATTATCATTATTATCATTATTGCTATTATTATTACTTCTATTTAATTTTATTAATAGTTTTTCCTGGGCAAGTGGTGCTGCAGCAGTCTGTGTCACTGCAGAGCATCTGACACTTGCTCTGAATTATTTGTGCCCTTTGTCACAACACAAACTTTTTATTTTATTTGTGCACTTTTTATTATTTTTTTTTTAATTTGTGCACTTTTCAACGCAAACAATTATCTCTCAACATAAAATAATCAGAGATAACAAAACCAACTAAAATATCCATTTCTGCTCCTGCAGGAAAATGCTGAGAAGCCTGAAAGGAATGTGCCATTCCCTGAGGGTGAGTCCTGTACGAGCCTGCTGCTATTCCCAACATTCCAACTTTCCTGTGGCCTGGAATGCCAAATCGCAGCTGTAAAAAAGTGAAATTTTTGGTGGCTGCTCTGAGCTGGGGGTGTCGACTCCCAGTGTGGGATAAGGGAGGAGCTGGGACAGAATTCCCACATTTCCCCGAGGGGTCTGGCTGGAACCAGGGTTCTGAAATCCTGCACTGGGGTAAAAAAGAGATTTTTCCTCTTGCTCTGCGTGGCTGGGACGTGCAGAGGAAGAAGCCACGCGCCTTGCAGAAATGCCAAAAATCCTGGAATTGTGGGATGTCCTGAGCTGGAAGGATCACGGAGTCCAAGGCCGGCGATCCCACCCTGTGCCGGGAGCTCCAGATGCCCCTGGAGCAGCTGTGGGGCTGTGCTGGGGCAGGAACCTTGAGATTTTTCCATTTCTGAGCCAAAAAGTGGATCCGGGGGATATTTGGGAACAGCCCGGCATTCCCAGAACCTGGGATCCTGTGGGATATTTGGGAACAGCCCAGCATTCCCAAAACCCAGCATTCCCAAAATCCAGTATTCCCAGAGCCCGGGATCTGTGGGATATTTGGGAACAGCCTGGCATTCCCAGAACCTGGGATCCTGTGGGATATTTGGGAACAGCCCGGCATTCCCAGAACTTGGAATCTGTGGAATATTTGGGAACAGCCCGGCATTCCCAGAACCTGGGATCTGTGGGATATTTGGGACCAGCCCGGTACCCCTGAGCCCAGGATCTGTGGGATATTTGGGAACAGCCCAGCATTCCCAAAACCCAGCATTCCCAAAATCCAGTATTCCCAGAGCCTGGGATCTGTGGGATATTTGGGAACAGCTCGACATTCCCAGAGCCCTGGATTCCTGGAAATGCAGGAACAGCCCAGGATCCCTGGAAATGCGGGACCAACTCAGGATCCCTGGAAGATGTGGGACAAGCCTGGCATTTCCAAAACCCAGGATCCCTGGAAATGCGGGAACAGCCCGGCATTCCTGAGGCCGGGATTATGGGATATTTGGCACCAGCCCGGCATTCCCAGAGCCCGGCATCCCTGGAAATGCAGGACCAGCCCAGCATTTCCAAACCTGGCATCCCTGGAAATGCGGGACTAGCCCGGCATTGCCAAAGCCTGGGATCTCTGGAAGTGCGGGAACAGCCTGGGACCAGCCCGGCATTCCCAAACCTGGCATCCCTGGAAATGCGGGAACAGCCCATCATCCCTGAGCCTGGGATCTGTGGGATATTTGGGATCAGCATTCCCAAACCTGGCATCCCTGGAAATGCGGGACCAGCCCAGCATTCCCGAGCCTGTGATCTTTGGGATATTTGGGATCAGCATTCCCAAACCTGGCGTCCCTGGAAGTGCGGGACCAGCTCCACCTCACGGCTCGGCGCTCCCGCTCCATCCCGCCGCACGTGGTGGTTCGCTGCCATTTCAGGGATCCTAAAGGATCGTTTGGATTTGAGGAGGAAAAGGGCAACGTGGGAAGATTTGTTGGGTGATCTCCTGTGGGAACCCAGGAATTCCCTCTGGCTGCCCTGGGACCCCCCAGACAGAGCCCCCAGAGACACTGGCTGTGATCTCTGTCCATGAAAAAGAGTTTTCAATTTACAGGATGAATTACCAGCTCTGAGTGTTTGATTTAAGTAATAATTAAGTGCGGCACGGGTGCAAAAGTAAAATTTTAAAATTCTAGATTAAGAGTCCGAAGGGGGACAAGATAGAAAAAATTGTGTGTGTCTTGTCCTTTTTCTCCTTCTTCATACCCTCCATGTTTCACTGTGGTGTTGGCATTTTTCTCTTGGTTTAAGCTTAGAACACACTGTTCAACGTAGATAATAGATATTAGCACATTATTATAAATATAGCAGACATAGTTTCTAATATATAATGTTTGTAACATCCCACTGAGGGCAGAGCCCCACACGCTGCCCGACAAACAGACCTGCAGCAGGGCAGCAAAACATGTTATAAATACGCAAAAATAACCTTAAAAACCAGCACAAACGAATTATAACTTCTTTAGCAACGAAGCAAAAAGAGGCTTTTTAAAATCTCAGGATCATCAATACCACAAATTCCAACAATATTCCTATTTGCACTGCAGCTGTTTTGTTCCAGAGGGTCCAGGCTGGATTCATTCTTTCCCTAAGAGGAGGGCAAGCGCCCAAATGCCAATTGAGGAGTGTGGAATGTGGGTAATTCCGTTTTCCCTGGAGCCCTCGTGGCTTTGCAGTGGCCCCCCCGAGGAGCCCTGGGGTGGCAGCGGAGCTGCGTGGTGCCACGGGGAGCTGAGCCAGCTGTCCCTGCCTCTGAGCTTTGCATTCTGCCACACAAAATAGGAAACTGCTGGCTGTGTGTTCAGCTGCCACTGGCCCTGCCAGTGCTGCGAGGGGCTCTCGGCTTCTAGAGCCTGTCTGGAGGATGCACTTTTTAAATCATTGACAAATGTTTGTGTTTTCTTTCACCACAGCATAATAAAATGCTTGTCCTGCCACTGCTCACTTCCTTGCCTGTTTTGGCTGGGCTTTGCAAGGCAGGCTTCAGCAGTCTGTCTGGGGAAAAATGAATTAATCAGCTTAGCTGGCTGTTTTGGTTTCTCAGCCACGTCTGTATCCTAATGCCAGAGTCTGGATGCAGGGACACAGAGAAATCGGTGTAGGCAGTGTAATTATAAATATCAAATAGTGGGCAGTGCTGCACTAATCCCTCGGTAATTGAGGTGATTATGGATTGCTAGACAGCCTGGATTTTCAGGGTGCTGCCACTCCTCAGTGTAGGCAGAAACATGGTGGGCACTTCCCAGCAGTGAGAATGGATGTGGGATCTGCAGGAATTCTCTGGGGTAAAACTCAGGGGCAGGGCTGAGGTGGCTTCAGGTGGAACCGGCTTGGGTGGGGATGGTTTCAGTGCAGGCATCTAAATGTGAAACCTGCTTCTGCAGCATGTGGGTTTTCCTGATGAATTTCCATGCTAATGATGAGTTTTCATCCTAATTGCAATCAGAGTTCAGCTCTGGGTTGCGCGTGCCTCGGCGGGATCATGGAGCGCTCGGAGCAGACTCCCTGGGCTGGATTTCACCAGCTGACAGCTTTGTTGTCTCTTTGCCTTGCTTTTCCTTGGCTGCTGACAGCTTTGTTGCCTCTTTTGCCTTGTTCTCCCCTCAGCTGGAGCGTGGCTGTGCCCTCCACACGACATCCAGGGCTGGCCTGAGCTCTGTGTCCAGCCAGGATGTGCCTGCACAAAAGCCCCGAGCAATTTTCCACACCAGCGAGAGCGACCCGGTGAGTGACTGCCACCTCTGTCCCTGCCCGCTGCCAGCCCTGGGTGCCACCAGGGGCCATCCTGGCAGCCAGCACTGCTGCCTGGCACTCTGCTGGTCCAGGGAAGGGGGTACACAGACCGAAATTTGGGATCAGCTCCGAGGGAACGGGCTGTGGCTGTACAGGGCGCCTGCTCAGCACGGGGCTGTTCTGCAGGGGGTAGAACAGGTACTGATCCCTTCTCCAGAGCTGCACAGATGAGAGACAGATGCAGAGAAGCTGGGACAGGGCTTAGCTTGTCATCACCCCCCATGAATTTCAACTCCAGGGTTATTCTTCCCTGGAAAAGCCTGCCTTGAGTTGGCTGTGAAGGGGATAAAAACCACACCGCAGATGACCTCAGCGCAGCTCTGCAGCATCAACGATTCCAGCCTCACACTCTGTTGTCTGGAGCACAAAATGAAGGGCAGCTAAATGAATGGAAGAAGCCTTTTCGAGGTGCTTTTCTGCTGCCGTGTAATTGGAGTCTCTGTGCTGATTCCTCTGGAGTCTCTATGGAAACGGCAGCGGGAGATGATCCGCTGCACGTGACCCCGTGTCTCCACGGATTGCACAGCACAGGCCAGATGGCCACCATTGTCCCCACTGGCCTCTGCCTGCTTTTTGGTTGCCAGGCAACTCCTCTGGCATTCTGACTTGTGCCTGAGCTTTGGCACAGCTTTGGCACAGCTCTGGCCGGCGCTGGGTCACTCCAGCAGCAAACCCTGGTGGCACCCCAGCTCCTGCACCACACAATCCCATTGAATTTGGACTAAGAAAGCCACCAAACACCACATTTTTTCATCAGTTTGTTTATCCTTCCATTAGCAAAACTCCAAGTGACTAAACACGAGGATAAATGATGTAGGAGAGTTAAGGAATTCATCCAAAGTCATGCAGCAAGTCAGGGATAAAGCTGAGAATGAAAATGGGCTCTGGAGTCCTGCTCTTCTGGAAAACCACAGGTGCTGTGTCCAGCACGTGCAGGAGAACTCCAGGGAAGCCACAGTTTGAAATAAGGTTGGGAAAAAGAAGTATCACTTCACTCTTATCCTCAGGTGATGCCTCCTTACAGCAGGGCACCTCTTGAGCAGCCAGGATTTAACATTTCCCCCCCGTTGCAAAGATTTCCTGACCAGTGAAGCCCCGTTTGGCAGCTCCAGCAGCTCAACCCTTTGCTGAAGTTACCAAACTTTCTGGAAATCATTCCTTGAACCAGGAGTTCCTCAAATCCTGCAGCTGTGCCAAGGTAAACCACAGAGTCCAGGACACCCTAGGGAGGTGTGGAACAGGGGCAGTTGCTGAGTAAAAGGGGCAGAAGGTGAGAGCAGAGGTGTATTTTGTGCTGAAAGGCTGCAAATCTGTCCTGAAGAAGGGAAGGGACATTTAACAAAAATCCTGGGGCCAGAAAATTCATGGATATGCAACAGAGCTTCCAGCAGTGGTCCGTGAAGAGCCCATCAAGAGCTGGGAAAAGCCAAATATTCCTGGCCAAACAGGCAGAAGTCACACCTGCACACAAAAATGCTGGCACGTAAAATAAGGAAAACAAGGAAATTGTTGTATTTGTTGTTGTGCATTCCAGTTTTTATATATAACAGGAATAAAGAGGAGGACAGTTTTACTTTAAATCCATGGGAAAAAAATGCAGAAAGCAGAGCAGGACAAGATCTAAGCTTCAAAGATTAACACAAAACTGCTAAAAGTCACACAGGAAGGGCTGCAGAGCAGTCTCTGTTTACTGTCCTAATTAGACAAGACACAAAAAAGGATGACTTGAGCAAGAGGAAATAAGTAACTTTGCAGGTATTGCATGGCAGGAAAAGAGAATAATGAAAGGAAAGAGGCAGGCATTAAATGAAATTCTCAGATCCCAGTGACAAGAGCTTCTTGCTGTCATTATGGTGAGACCTGCAGGGTAAAAACTAGAAATAAATGCAGCAGGATTCAAGTCCAGTGGAGGAAGAGCCCTGATCACTGAGGTCACCACAAGGGACTGGAAATTCTTGCCCCAGAAAAAAGATGAGGAGTTTTTAAGCCTCCAACCCCAGTAATGAAATGGCACCGTGGGAATCTCACTGCTGGGAGGCAGCAGCCCCAAGGCAGAAAACATCATTTTGTCACAGAAGAAAGTGAATGTGACACCAGCAGGGAGCTCAGAAGGGTGTCACACCTCTGGCAAGGTTTGGGGGGGCTGTTGAAAGGTGAGGTAAATTTGTGGTGCCTCCAAAACACCACAAGCTCCGGGAATCCCTTCATTGTTTAGTGACAAAAAAACCCCAAAATTCCTGCTTTATCTGCTCTGCCTCCCAGCAAGAGAGCATTGCCACCCTGCGTGCAGCAAAGAGGCATCACCAGGGTGCAAAATTCCCATTTTGTTCTTCCAGGCCAAGCACACGGAGCAGCACGAGGGGCGTCTCTACGACATCCCCCTGGAGGAGGTGAAGGCTGTGTTCCCCCATGGGCTGCCCCACCGTTTCCAGCAGCAGGTATTTCACCTTGGAATGCACAAATCCAAGTCAAAAACGTTTCAGACCCTAGCAAACAACTAAAAGCAATTCTCATTTTCAATTGAAACCATAAAATCATTTACCAACCTTACAAAAAAACCACAAAAAATCACAAAAGTTTAAATATTATAATAAAAATAATCACAAAATAAAAAAAAAATTAAATACTATACAGGGGGAGTTTAAGTCCTATACAAAAAAGTTTTAATTTTATACATAAAAGTCAAAAATTTTAAAATAAAAAATGTTAAGCCTATCCTATCCTCCCTCTTTCTTCTTCCTTATTTCCATATTCTTAATATTAACACTCACAAATCAGTTTAAAATAAAAAAACCACCATTTAATAGAAATAATAAACATTAAAAAACTATAAACATTTAACACATAATATACCATATAAAAATAACAATAAATAATAACCCAAAAAAAAATCTAAAAGTATATATGCACAGGTGCAAAAGTAAAATTTTAGGGTTCTAGATTAGGGGTTCAAAGGGGACAAGATGGAGAAAATTGGGTGTGCCTTGTCCTTTTTCTCCTTCTTCATGCCCTCCATGTTTCACTGTGGTGTTGGCATTTTTCTGTTGGTTCAGGCTGGGGACACACTGTCCAATGTAGGTGACAGATATTGGCACGTTCTTGTAAATGCAGCCCAGGGAGTTTCTGGTATTTAATGTTTGTCACATCCCACTGAGGGCAGAGCCCCACACGCTGCCCTGCAGGACAGAGCTGGGCAGGGCAGCAGAACATGTGAGAGATAAACAGAATAAACAACCTGGAAACCAGCACAGACCAATTATGGCTTCTGCTTTGGCAATGGGCAGAAAGACAGAGACTTTTACAGTCTGGGAATCATCAATACCTCAGAATCTGACAGAGGACAGACCTTTGAGGGTCTGATTTGTGTGGCGAGGCAGATGGGCTCTGCTCTGTCAGCCTGGTTCAGGAACAGATTCCTGTTCAAATACCTGTGCAAATCCAGTTGATTGAGTTGGATTCATGCACAGGCCCAGCCTGTGGGAACAGGGTGGAGCAGGTGACCCAAAAAATCCTTCCTGGGCACAGACAAAATCCTTCCACCGAGGGCAAGCAGCACCTGGCCACCTCTCAAGTGCTGCTTGCCCAACCCTGTGGGTGCTGCTGGGCAGAGCTGGGGGTGTTGGAGCCTCCAGGCAGGGCTGGAGCAGGGCTGGAGGGGTCCCTGGGGACAGCTGGTGGCAGTTTGGTGACTCCTATCTCAGATCCAGACCTTCAACGAGGCGCGGGTGATGGTGCGGAAGCCGGCGCTGGAGATCCTGGCTTACCTGAAGGGCTCCAGCTTCGCCCACCCTGCTGTGAGATATGTGATCTGTATCCTTGAATTTGAGGGTGGAATGAAGAGAAACACGAGAATTTAGTGCGGGGGAGAGGGTGGTTGTGACCCTGAGCTGCTCTGGTCTTCAGGAGGTGGTTGTGCCCCGTGGTCTGTGCTCGGTGCAGGGACTCCAGGCACTTGAGGGAGCTCAGAGCTTGGATGCCTTTGTCCTAACTCGTGGCAGGGTCAGCACACAGGGCAGGGGCTCCTCAGTTCTGCTCAGTGGGGTGGGGGACAGAGAGCAGAAACTCTCTGAGTGAAATGCCATCCTTGCTTTGACGAGCTCTTTGTGCCCTTTCTGAACTCCCTTTCTGGAGGAATCACACTCAAGTACAAACTGAAGTGGTTTTTCAAAGACTTTCCTTGACAATCCTTGTTGGAGATGGTGAGAGAGGAACAGGGAAGACCATGACCCTGTGCCACGTGGTTCACTACTGCTCCAGGCAGGGCTGGCTGGTGCTGCACGTCCCGGATGGTGAGAAAGCCAGGGCTCTGTTACCACACCAAACACCCAAAGAGCTGCTTCAGGAGCTGTAGGATATCCACACCAAACACCAAAATCAGCTGCTTCAGGAGCTGTAGGATATCCCACACCAAACACCAAAATCAGCTGCTTCAGGAGCTGTAGGATATCCCAAACCAAACACCCAAACAGCTGCCTCAGGAGCTGTAGGATATCCCACACCAAACACCAAAATCAGCTGCTTCAGGAGCTGTAGGATATCCCACACCAAACACC